CTGCTGTATGAAAAGTGAATTTACTCTGTAAATCTTCACCCAAATCCTAATAAAAAGAAAAAAAAAAAGGAAAACAAAACAGAAAACAAAAACAATGAAAAATAAAAATTAATGTTTAGAAGCTCTGTTCATCTAGTTCATCTTCTGCTACTTTTGAAGTTTGGGTTATGCTTGACAGTTTAATTTGCCCCTATTTTTTCTTGAGGCACTCTATAGATTAAGATTTCACATTTTAAGTCTTTGATCCATCTGGAGTTAGTTTTTGTGTATGATGTGTGGTATGCGTCTTGTTTCATTTTTCTGCAAATGGATATACAGTTTTGCCCGCACCATTTGTTAAAGAGACTATCTCCTCCACATTTAATGGATTTCAGGCCTTTGGCAAAGATCAGCTGACCATAAGTCAATTGATCAATATTTAGGTTCTTAATTCTATTCCACTGGTCTGTGTGTCTGTCATTGTACCAATACCAGGCTGTTTTGACTACTGTAGCTGTATAGTAGGTTTTGAGATCTGGGAGTGTGAGACCTCCTATTTTGTTGCTCTTCAATAGTGCTTTGATGTGTCTTTCCTTTCCATATAAAATTAGTGATGGGTTTTTTCCATATCCTTAAAGAATGTTGATGGTATCTGGATTGGTATTGCATTGAAAGTATAGATTGCATTGGGTAGTATTGACATTTTCATAGTGTTCAATCTTCCTATCCATAAGCGTGGTATGTTCTTCCATTTATGTAGATCTCATAGTTTCATAAAGTAGTTTCTTTGCAGGTCTTTTGAGGGACACTTGGTGAAGTTTTGAAAGAAGACTCATGTGCATTAGGTGCTGGAATCACAGACAGCAAAGTAGATTTTCTGAAATGAGTTGGGAAAGTCACCTTGTCCTGAAAGCTTAGACACTGTCTAAGTGACCGGCTCACAGAGCAGGCTCCATATACGTTAGTTCCTTCCTCCTCCATTTGTAATCCTTCTCTTCCCACTTACCCTCCATTTCCTTCCTTTGCCTCCTATATCCTCCTTTCACCTTTGCCGTCTCTTCTCTCCCATCTCTTCTGATTATTTTTTGCTAACTCTCTCTCCACAACTTGTCTGCTCACCTCCCCTTGGACTGTTACCTCTTCCCATGATCATTCCTGTTGAACCAAAGCCAATCCCTCACCTCTGTTGCCATTGGACCAACAGGTGAAACAGCTCGTACCAGTCCGGGACCAGTCCCTGCAAGAGGAGCTGGCTCGCCAGCATGCTAATGAGCGCCTGCGGCGCCAGTTTGCTGCACAGGCCAATGCCATCGGACCCTGGATACAGAACAAGATGGAGGTGGGTCAGCACCCTTCAGAGAGCTTCTCATAGGCCTTGAAAATGTGCCAGTCAGCTCGTAAATGACACGTCCTATGAGAAGTTGCTAGTAGCCCCTCTCAGTGCTGGAAAAGTGCCTGCCCTCTGTCACGTTGAGCTTTTCTCTTTTCAGCCCCTGGCTGAAAAGTATGTCAGTACTTTGAAGGGTACAGAGGGAGGGGCACACTGAGGAGGCGCAAAGTGTACTGCCTGAGATCTGATTATTTGTTATTGAGAAAGATGTCAGGGCTTGTTCTCAGTTTTTATCCTGGATTTCAACCATTCCATCACTAAGGAGGACATGTGGAGAGTGACAAATACTTTGCATTTTTAGAACATTTAAGAAAAAGTAGTTTTGAATGACACTTATTTTGGGGTCTATCCTGTCACCAAGAACAGTCAAGAGACATTTATTAGCACAGTTATTCCTCTCCCTACCTCCTTTTTGGTGATCAAATGTTTGTCTTTTTCTTAAAGGGAGAAACATCTAAGAATATAAATTCTTGTGCTAGAGAAAGCACCAGGGGTTTTAAATCTATCTCGCAACTTGGCTCATGCAGCACATCCCACCCCCTCAAAGGAGGGCATGGCAGACTGAGGAGGTTTTATCCCCATTGTAGAAATTAAAAAAAAAAAAAAACACTTCACTGCCATTGAGGCGGATCCGACTCATAGCGACCCCTCCTTGAGTTCCCCAAGCAGTATTGCTATGGAAGTAGATCACCCAATCTTCCTTCTGAGGAGTGGCTGGTGGGTTTGAACCACCAGCCTTCTGGTTAGCAGTGAAATGCCTTAGTCACTATGCTACCAGAGCTCCCATCCTCGTTGTTGTTGTTGTTATGTGCCATCGAGTGAGACCTGACTCATAGCGACTCCTCCTTGGGTTTTTGAGTCAATATCACTACAAAAGTAGATTGCCCAACCTTTCTTCCAAGGAGTGGCTGGTGGGTTTGAACCATCACCCTTCTGGTTTGCAGCCAAGTCCCTTAGGCACTACGCTACCAGAGCTCCCCATCCTCATTGTAGTAAGGTTGAAATGACTCTTGCTCCTCATTTTTGAGTCTCAGTTGACTTTTTTCCCATTCTTTGCACTAACTAGAACCAGACCACACTTCATTCTATGACACACCCTGGTTCCCAGTCCACATGAGAAAATCAAGTGACTTTGCTGCTGTCCAGTGCCAGTTTAGTCCCTGAAGCACAATAAGGAATAATGGCACCCACATAGTTACCTTAAACATTTCCTGACTTTGTTTTCCTTTCCCTTCTATTCCTGCACACCCATTTCCATCTGTCAGGAGATTGCCCGGAGCTCCATCCAGATCACAGGAGCCCTGGAAGACCAGATGAACCAGCTGAAACAGTATGAGCACAACATCATTAACTACAAGAACAACATTGACAAGCTGGAAGGTGACCATCAGCTCATCCAAGAGGCCCTGGTCTTTGACAACAAACATACTAACTACACAATGGAGGTATGGCAGCCGGACAGGCCTTTATTCCTGTTGTACCTAATTATGACCTTTTCATCTTTTTAGGGTGTTTGTTGTTGTTGTTGTTGTTATTTTTTCCATACATGTGTCTCTATTTGTTCCTGTTAAGTTCTACAAGTATAGCAATTAGGAGTCTTTGCCTTTCCCCTCACTATATATAAAAAAGTTTAGTGAACTCTATCAATAACTAGGTAAATATAAAGTTAGTTATCATCTTCACTGACAACAAAATCATCATCATTATTATCACTCCAATGAATCCATTACCCTTCTACAGAGAAGTTACCACAAATTGGACTGTTGCTTTTCATTTGATCTCCCTGAGAGCTGGAAGTTCCAATCCAGGGCTCATCCTGCTACTTGGTAAATGGAAAGATATTTTCAGTGAAACCAAACTCACTGCCATCAAGTTGATTCTGACTTATAGTGACCCCCTTTGGGTTTCTGAGACAGTAAATCTTTATAAAAGTAGGTTGCCATGTCTTCCTTCCACAGAGAAGTTGGTGGGTTTGAACTGCCAACCTTCTGGTTCACAGTCAAATGCCTTACGAAGTATGCTACCAGAGCTCCTGGAAAAGAACAATGTATATTGTATATTTAATCTAGTGCCAATTATGACTGTTAGAACCTACTCTCAGTTCTGAGTATTTTCTACTATACAATCTCGCAAAAAGTGGAAAAATATAATTTAAAAATATAGGGAAATCTAAAGTAAGCTCTCTTCTTATATCCCTTTGGGCCACCTCTCCTGTTATGAAAATTAAGAGGCCAAATTGATCTGCTGAAATACCTGGAGTTGATCATTTCCTCTTTTCTTTGGTAGCACATTCGTGTTGGATGGGAATTGCTGCTGACAACCATCGCCAGAACCATCAATGAGGTCGAGACTCAGATCCTCACAAGAGATGCTAAGGGCATTACCCAGGAGCAAATGAATGAGTTCAGAGCCTCGTTCAACCACTTTGATAGGGTACCGTAGTTTCTTTAGTTATTTGAAAGTCAGCAATAAAAATTATAAAAATTAAAAATGTATGAGATGATCATGCTATTGTTGTAAGTCTGTTTCTGAAGAAGTTTACAAGGCAAGAGAATATTTATTAATACCAAAGGAAACTAGCTACCAAAATGAAATATTCCTGAAAGCTCTTATGTTACTCAAGGTGACATGATGTCTAGTTTGCTGTTTTATGTATATTATTTAATGAATGCAAGCTTGATTTGCTCTAAGTGAAAGCATATCCTTAAAAAAATGTGGTTGCTGGGTGTTAGTCATTTTCCAAAGATTTAAATATGAAGTTCCAGTATATTTTTCCTAAGTAACTATTTAGGTAAAGTACTTGATGAAAACTTAATCTACTTGTTTGACATACAAAGTTTAATTTTCTTTTTCAATCAATAAAATTGATTGAGGTATGTTTTAGTCAAAACTAAAGCATTGTTTACTAAGAAAACAAAATATGGAAAAAAAGCAATTCTTTATAAGAAAATTATCAATTTTCCAATCATATGCCGAATTGTCACTTTCAAGGCCATTTTCCACTTTTCAGAGATCACTAGAAAAGGGTGTTCAATCGTCTTATACAGGAACCTGTTTATAGTTTACTAATATCAGTAAATGGTTCCTACAACACCCAACATTAGACCAGCCAGATTTGGGTCTATTAAAGAGTTCACACAGCAGCCTTCTTACCAGGGAACTGAGGCATAAATAAGGGAATTATATGCAGAGATGGACATTGAAGTTGCATGGTTTCAATGCAACTTTATTATGTAGACACATGCTATAATACTGACCTGACAGATTGGAGATCCGTTGAGATAGAAATCCGACAGAACTTAACAGGATTTGGGGGCTAAGGCAGAGAAGAAAATTAAAAATAGTATGGAAATTATAAGCCATGAGAACATGGAAGAAAGGATGCTAGTGAATCAGAGACCCTGTGGGACATTACAGCAAAGAGATCTCCTGGGTAGTTAGAAGGACAGTCTGGAGCTTAAGAAATCAGTCTAACTTACTCACTCACTGCCATCGAGTCATTTCTGACCCATAGCAACCACCCCCCACTTGGGTTTCCGGGGCAGTATCTCTACGGAAGTAGATTGCCCAATCTTCCTTCTGAGGAGTGGCTGGTGGGTTTGAAATGCCAGCCTTCTGGTTAGCAGTTAAGTGCCTTAGGTACTATGCCACCAGAGTTCCCAAGAGCCTACAAAAGTCAGGACATAATGAAGATACCCAGCTAACAGAATCTGGAGAGTAAGAAGTGACAGGGTCCAGATCTTAGGGAGTTACTACATTTATGCCAAATAAAATTCAGAGCAAGAATACTGAGAGAAGCCAGTGAAGAATAATGAGTATCATAAGGTAGAGCAACATTGACTTTATTGAATGCCACTGAGAGGGCAGGAGAGTGACTGAGGACTAAAACATAGTGATGATAACAGATGAAAACTAAGTTCATAGAAAAAAGACCTTGTGATGTTAGCTTTGGGGGCCTGCCACTACATGGGCAAATAAAAACACCAGAAAATAACTTTCACTTGATAATCAACTAGGCCAGTCAAAGTGTTTTCTTATCATTAAATTTATTTTATGTTTGTATCTTATCCATTAACTCAAAACTCTAAAGAATATCTTCAGTGCAGCAGTGCACTTCCCATTACATTCAGGGCTTTGTGTGAACGCCTCTATTTCTATGCTCTGGGTTGCTGTGTGTCCTGGCCTGGCCTCTTCTCAGCTGTGAAAGCAGTTGTTCATCTCAGTCTTCTGTGCCACTCATGGGACTTTCAGATGAGGCTGAGCACATCACACAGAGGGGCCACTCCATCCCAACCCAGGAACCCAACAGTGGTTGCAAAATAGCTTTGCAGATGTTTGAGTACTCTAGGAATACCATCATCTTTGGGGAATTTTACAAATGATTTCACAAATTTTACAAATATACAGCATTGTAATTGCTCAGAACATTCACAGTATGATCTGTCCTAACTAGGTGGCAGTAATTGCTCCTAACCAGTTCATTTTCATGGCACTAAGTAGTCTCTCTGTTCATTTTGGTCTGGTCTTAGTCCACCAAGCTCCAATCTTTTTTCCTTTTTAAGAAATTATTTTGGAGCATCCTTTTTTTGACTCCATCTGTCTTATAAGTTGGTGGTAACCTTTGTGATCTCCTTGGCAGAGGTTCAATTGGTGCTCCTCTTACTGAATTTTGTTGACGGTACTATACTCACTTTGTCAAGTATTGCTCATGTTCACCTTCTCTACTCTGTATTTGTCAACAGAGAAAGAATGGCCTGATGGATCATGAAGATTTCAGAGCCTGTCTTATTTCCATGGGTTATGATCTGGTATGACAGAAATTGATATTTTACTAAGAATTGACATTTTATTGAGATTGACTTTATATGTTAAGAAATAAATAGCTTAAAGTTTTTCTTATAGTACTTAGCACCTTGAGAAATGATTTGTTTTCGTTGTATAAGAAAATATTTTTTGATGATCTAGATACCTGCCACTAATCAAAAATAATTTCACAGAGTCAAAAGGTATATTTCTATTCAGAAATTGGTCATATTTCTCTGGTGATTTTTTAAAAAAATACCTTTAGAGATTTTATTCATGTACTCCACAATTCACATATTTAAAGTGTACAATTCAATGGTTTTTAGTATCTTGACGGTTTTTTTTTTCTTTAATGTTTTAGAAGGTAAAATGCTTTTCCTAATAAATCAGCTAAGAAAAGTGTACCTTTCCTGTGGTCTGTTATAGTCCCAGTGGACCTCCACATCTTTGCTACTCAATAATACATATTTTGAACATGAGCACTTTGACCCATTTAAGATCTTTAAAGTAAAATTATTAGAGGCATCTTCTAAACAGTCTCTTTCTCTTTAGCAATGCCAGTCTTCTCAGTTACAACTGAGAAAAGTTCCACCACTGTGTTTGAATCACTCTTCCAAAATCACATTAATACCTGAAGGCAACAAGAGGAAAGGATTCTCGGCTTGAGGCTACACAGCTCTTAACATTGTTTTATGCCAATAAACTTTTATCACCCATTGGGGAATCTCTCCTAGAGGAAATATACTAGCTGGCATTGAATCAAATCTAATTCAGGTGAACCCATGTGCTCCACTGAGTTTTCAGCAGCTGATTTTTTAGAAGTAGATCACCAAGCCTTTCTTCTGAGGAGCCACTTTGTTGTTGTTGTTGTTTTGCCGTTGAATCGGCGAGGAGCCACTAGGTGGCCTCAAATGTCCAATATTTTGGTTTGTAGCCAAGCACAATAACTGTACCACCCAGGGACTCCAAAGGGAAAAATAAGGAATATTTAAATTTTCAAATGGAAAGGAGGGAGCTTGCATATCAGTAGGTAAAAATAAGAACCACCCTGTTTGGAGTTATCTTTTGTTGAAATATATGTTTCTTTGTAACATTGCTTCAGGGTGAAGCTGAATTTGCCCGTATCATGACCCTGGTTGATCCCAATGGACAGGGCACTGTTACCTTTCAGTCCTTCATTGACTTCATGACGAGAGAGACAGCAGACACCGATACTGCTGAGCAGGTCATCGCCTCCTTCCGAATCCTGGCATCTGATAAGGTCTGCATTTACAGATTGCCTTCTCTTTTTTCAGATTGCCTGTCTTTTAGAATAACAGTTTCCTTTGTCATTCTAACAAAAAAGAACAACTTCACAAGTAAAAAACATTTTCATACTGTGCCCTTTGCACAACATCAGCACTAAATTCTAGAAGTGGTGGGTAAATAGTACAGTTACATACCCAGCAGAGAGAAAACATACAATTCTCTTCCTGGCATTTGTGCTTGAGCCTCACATTGAGTTTTACAGAAGTAACCAATTGGTGTATTTTGTGGATCTTTTGTGTTTTTCTGGTTCAACCCCATTTTCCATTCTGGATTGGTTAATTGGACTGAAAAAGAAGAAACCACACAATTCACATGTTAAGGATCTGGGAAACCATCTCTTAAGGATCTATGTATGGGCTGCAGAGACTTCTGGTAAGATGGAGGAATAGGCAGACAAGTGACACAGACCCTTTTCAACAAAGAAAACAAAAACCAATTGACAGAGATACAGAAGATAATCCTGGAACCCTGAGCTTTGAAAGGAACTACACAGAAGTGGATTAGGCACCAACTAGTGGAAAAACCTGAATGAAAACAGTGAGTACAGAGTTGGTCAGAGCTGAGGACTGTCAGATACTCTGATGAGACCAACAGCCTGAATAGTTCCAAGTGGTGCTAGGACCTGAGAATTGATCTAAAGATCAGTCCCGGTCACTAAGGGCTGCAGGGACAACTGCTTTGGTGGCCTGTAACTAGGAAGGAAACAGCAAGGTGGGATATAACCTGAGCTGTGGACTTTCTGCTGTCCAGAGGGCGCAGCCATTTTGACTGTTTACAAGTGGCAGCCATTTTGGATATTTAAAGTGACTGAGGGCACAGCTATTTTGAATGCCTACAAGTTCTTATTCGGATTCCAGGCTTTGTTTGCCAGGGTCGGCAAGGACATATGAGAGGCTGACAAAGGAAAGGAGACAGGTAATGAGTGTATAAGTGCTGTCAACTAGTGAATAGAGGAGCACAGCACAGAACCCTGCCTGTATAGATAGCATACAAACAAAACAAAGAAAACAAAAATCGTGGCCAAGTCACTCCAACATATAATCACCGATTAAATATAAACACAAAAATGTCACAATGCCTTGGAGACAACAGAGCATCACAGTCCACACAAAGAAGCAAGATAAAGCAGGAGAAACAAGGGACCAGGATACAGACCCAAAACACATCCCTGAGGAAGATGCAGCATTGGAACTCCCTGATAAGGAATTCAAAAGAATTATATTTAGGTATCTTCAAAGGATTGAGAGACAGACCAAGGAAAACACAGACAAAACCCTAGAAGAATTTTGGAAGAAAAGACAAGAACAAAATAACAAAATCAATGAAAAATTAGAAATAATTCAAAATCTACAGATAGAAATCCAGAAGATTAATACTAAATTGTCAGAAATAGATAACACATTGAAAGGGCAAAAGAGTAGAATTGATGCAATGGAAGACAGAATTGATGAGATTGAAAACAAATACCTGAATACTTCTTTGGAGAGGGATCAGTCAGAAAAAAGATCAAAACAAAATGAAGAAAGCCTAAGGTTCATGTGGGATACCATCAAAAGGAATAACCTACATGTTATTGGAATTCCAGAACAGGAACAGAAAAATGAAACCACTGAGAAAATTGTCCAGGATTTATTGGAGGAGAACTTCCCTGGTATGATGAAAAATGAGAATATGTCCATTCAGGAAGTCCAACGAACCTCAAACAGGATAGACCCCAAAAGAAAAACACCAAGACATATCATTATCAAACTCACCAAAACCAAAAACAAAGAAAGAATCCTGAGAGCAGCACAGGAAAAACAAAAGGTTACCTACAAGGGACAGTCAATAAGACTAAGCTCAGATTTCTCGACAGAAATCATGCAGGCAAGAAGACAGTGGGAAGGTATATATAAAACCTTGAAAGAGAAAAATTTCCAACCAAGAATTATGTACCCCAAAAAATTGTCCCTCAGATATGATGGTGAAATTAGGATATTTCCAGATAAGCAGAAACTAAGGGAGTTTGTTAAAACCAGACCAACATTACAAGAGATGCTAAAGGGAGCCCTTTGGACAGAGAACCAATAACAGCCAACAACAACTGACCATTAACACACATGATGATATAACTCAGAAACCAGCCCAGCTATGGAAGGAAGCATCCAAAATAAATAAGCCTACAAGATTGTAAACAGGGAACCAGAGACACCAACCAACAAATGAGGACAACTACAAACCAAAAAGAGGGAAAAAAATCCATGTCGCTACAGAACTTCTAGATGGTAGGGAAGTCAAGACAACTACAAGATAGAACGGACTGTTCTAAACTCGGGAAGAAAACTATAAATCACAGGGTAACCTCAAAGGAAAACGACAAACCTTCACATCAAAATAAAAAAGAGGACCAACACAAATATTTGTTGTTGTTGTTGTTATGTGCCGTTGAGTCAAATCCGACTCATAGCGACCCCTCCTTGGGTTTCCGAGGCAGTATCACTACAGAAGTAGGATTGCCCAACCTTATTCTGAGGAGTGGCTGGTGGGTTTGAACCGCCAGCCGTCTGGTTAGCAGGCAAGTGTCTTAGCCACTATGCTACCAGAGCAAATACTAAAACAATAGCACTGAAGGAAGTGATAACACAATTCATAAACAAAAGAACTCAGCATAGAAAATTATATGGAACAAAGAAATAGACACTATATAAAAGCACATGACAAAAATGACAGAAACAAATTCATATTTGCTGATAACTACGTATCTGGTAAGGGACTTATCTCTAAGATTGATGGAAAACTCCAACGCCTCAACACCAAAGGAATTAACAATCCAATTGAAAAATGGGCAGAACACATGAATAGACACTTCACCAAAGAGGATATTCAGGTGGTCAGCTAATACATGAAAAGATGCTCACAATCATTGGCCATCAGAGAGATGTAACTCAAAACAACAATGAGATAGACCGTCTCACCCCAGCACTGCTGACAAGGTTCAGTGAGACAGAAAATAACAAATGCTGGTGGGAATATGGAGAGATTGGGACTCTCATACACTGCTTGTGTGACTGTGAAGTGACACAACCACTGTGGAAAGCAATATGGTGATTCCTTAGAAAGTTGGAATTGGAGATACCATTTGACCCAGCAATCCCATTACTAGGTATATATCCTAGAGAGGTGAGAGCCAGGACAGGAACAGATACACGCATGGTCATGTTCATCACAGCACTGTTTACAATAGCAAAAAATGGAAACAACCTACAAGGCCATCAGCGGAAGAGTGGATGAAAAAGCTATGGTACATACACATACTGGAATGCTATGCAGCACTAAAGAATAATGTAGAGTCTGCAAAACACCCCATAATATGGATGAACTTGGAGAACGTTGTTGTTGTTGTTGTTGTTGTTATGTGCCGTCGAGTCAGACCCGACTCATAGCAACCCCTCCTTAGGTTTCCGAGGCAGTATCACTACGGAAGTAGATTGCCCAACCTTCCTTCCGAAGCATGGCTGGTGGGTTTGAACCGCCAGCCTTCTGGATAGCAGTCAAGTGCCTTAGGCATTACTATGCTAAATTAAATAAGTCAATCACAGAAGGACAAATATAGTATTAGTTCGTTGTTGTGGAGCGTCAAGGAAAGGATTATATATGGAGGGAAACTTGCTTTGTTGGTTGCCAGGGTGGGAGGGGAGTGGAGGGAACACTGCAAAAAAAAAAAAAAAAATGCATTGACCCATGTCACTTTAGTTTTGTGTATTTCACAGTACATAAATTATATTTCAATAAAATGCATTCAAAAAAAAAAAAAAAAATCTATGTATGGCCTTGGCTTTGTGCCAAGCCACTGGAACAAAGTTAAATGTAGCCATTCAATCATTTAAAAAAATTACAAACTCTTCATTATGCATAGCCTAGAAATTAAGTAGGAGTTTAATAGCAAGTTTAGAATATTTGAATTTCACTCCCAAACAAGAAACACATCTCAGTATGTATATATTCAATTTGGGATATGATTCTTCCACCCTGTGTTCTGAAAAGGAAAACATTACCACAAAGAAGTTAGGATACTAAAACACATCACAGAGCCATGGCCATTCTTTTACCTTAAGAGAACTAAACAAGATAATCTATCTTAATCATGGTGTTATCATTTATCATGAGGATGGAGCAGAAAATGCCCAACTGATTTTAGAAGGTAATAAATAATGGCATACCCAACCATAAAAAAAAAAAAAAAACTACTATACATTACAATATAGTATTTGTGATTTATTTATTTTGACTCTTACCGGCCAGTCTGCTTTACCAGAATTATATAATTTCCCATTGGGTATTTGACTCTTTTAAAAATATATTCCATTGATCAAGGTGTTTTATCTTGTTCTTTAAGGATGGTATCCCTCAGTGGCAACGTACTTTTAGTTTTTACTAAACATAGTAGGAACATGATCCCATGTTCAAAAACTGCACAGCATAAACACTTAAAAAATAAGTACACTGATTATGTTAAGTTTAATATCCCTATGTTCTCAACCAAGGAGCTCTGGTGTTACTGTGGTTAAAGCTGGGCTACTAATCAAAAATGTCAGCGGTTCGAACCCACTAGCTGCTCCACCAGAGAAAGATGAGGCAATCCACTTCCATAAGGGAGCTCTGGTAGAATAGGGCCTAACGCACTTGACTGCTAACCAGAAGGCTGGCAGTTCAAACCCACCAGCCACTCCACGGAAGGAAGATGGGGCAATCTACTTCCATAGTGATACTGCCTCGGAAACCCAAGGAGGGGTCACTATGAGTTGGATCTGACTTGATGGCACATAACATAACTTCCATAAAGATTTACAGCTTTGGAAACCCCATGGAGTCTTAGGAGTTGGAATTGACTCCATAGCATTGGGTTTCCATTTGGGTTTTTGATAGGTTCTCAACCAATGTGATTTTTGTTCCTGTCTCTTTGTCTTCCTACTTTCTGATATGAGATTGGATCATAGTAATTATCACTCACATTATGTCTCAGCTTGGGAAATACTGATGATAAAGCTACATTTGCTTTTATGATGCATATACCAATTCCTGCTGGCAAAAAAGGAAATCACCTTGCAGATATGGGACCCTACCTATTAGAGTCCTTACTTTTAATCCTTTTTTAAAAAATATTAAACAATGCAAGAAATGTGTAAATATTAAAACTTTTTATGTTTCAATGTTTTCTGGGATTGATTTTGCAAACCCTTGGATACTTTCTTCCAGCCATACATCCTGGCAGAGGAGCTGCGTCGTGAGCTGCCCCCAGAACAAGCCCAATACTGCATCAAGAGGATGCCCGCCTACTCAGGCCCGGGCAGCGTGCCCGGTGCCCTGGATTACACTGCCTTCTCATCTGCACTCTATGGAGAAAGCGATCTGTGATTCTAAGGTTCTGTAATCATTGATCCCAGCAGAATGCAATAAAAGCTGAAGTCACAGTTTGTTTCCTGGAAACTCTGACAAGCTTTATTAAGTGTGGGGGGAAATGAATTTTGAAGCTCAGTAATTGTCAACAATATAACATGGTTGAAGTGAAGTTTCTACAGCATATGATGACATAGGATGCTTCCTAAATAGGTTTCTTTATTTCTTAATATTTAGCTGAATGCAATGAAATGTCAGGTGTGTTTGATTAAACAAAGTAAATTACTTGAGAAGTATGAAGTTAGGAGGATCTCAGGACAAAGGGAAAGCGAAAAATGTGAAAATCCAAAATATCCAAGCTTCAAGATCATGGGGAAAAAATTACAAACTTGTATATGTTTGATATTTTTTGAAAATAGGCTTATGTGATGAACCCTAGGAGAATATATTTGGGATATCAATGTTTTGTTTTCTTGCTTATCCAAAGATTAGCTATATTTAAGAATAAATGGTACTATGTTTCATCACTCAAATTTAAGATAGTGAGATGGAACTTCCAGGGAATAGAAGGAGATTGCCCAAAGGATCTTTTAGGACTTAAATTTTTAAAAATTGAGATTATAATCAAGTCTTCATTATTTGGTACTAGATACTCCAGTTAGTGGATCTTGCTGCCTTACTTATTCTCTACTATAGGGAAATGAGGAAACACTGAAGCCAGTTTAATTGCCAGAGAGAAAAATGCAGTTACTAGGTAAAATGAAATTTTTAAGAATCTTTACTGACTCCGGGGTTTCAGGCTTTTTCAAGAGCTTGTTAGTACAGGATCTCAAGAGATGACCATTTACAAGAACTGTTTTTAAATAAACAGGTTTCTATAGTGATAATTCAAAACAAGAGATAAGTCAGAAACCAGGGTATTTATAGCTCTCCAAGCAGAACTTCTCTTTTTTGCCTTTAGTTTTATAACCTATTAAGAAGAAAGTAAAAGAGAATTTAAATAAATGAGGGACAGTAGGAAAGGACTAATTCTCAACAAAAGTAGAGGTAAGTTCTTTCATTATAGAGCCTTTTGGGTGAATTTATTTTGGGTATTATGAGTTACTAGAAGTTTCTACTAGCATTCAGTTTGTGATCACCACAGAGATTTGACAGTGCATCCAAACAAATTCTGAGTCTAGTCCTATCATTGTCTAAAACCATGCTCTGCTCCATTATAGAGGATGGTACATGTGAACCTCACCATTGTCATATGTTGAATGTTCATTAACTTTTCTGCTTATGCTACCGTATGCTATAATTCCTCCCTCTGTTTTACCATCTTGCTGACAACTTGTAGGGAATAAAACAAGAATTCTTTTTATATCTGAGTCCTTAATGATGAGGAGGCTGGCAGTTCAAACCCACCAGCCACTCTTCAGAAGGAAGGTTGGGCAATCTACTTCCGTAGTGATACCACCTCAGAAACCCAAGGAGGGGTCATTATGGGTTGGATCCGAAACAACAGCAATGCTTGCCTTTCTTTAATGATCAGGAAATTAATTATAAACAAACAAAAACAGTTGCACACAGCAATTAAAGTAGTACTAGAAAAGCAGTCATGTGCCTATTACCTACAGTCTGTTTCCTCAAATTTTTATAGAGTTCCACCAAGAGCTGGCAATGTGATGTTTTCCATTCATAACTAGTAACATAATACTTTTTACTACATTGGCCCATTTAGACCCTTCAACCTTTATAAATTTTATTTAATTTGCTTCATTATTAAGTAGTTGATAGGTTCCAAATTCCTGAAATATTTGAGTCATTGAGTTTAATGCCAAACACTTTTGAAGTGGTGTTTAGATGAACTCTGACTTCTTATTTTATTTCAAGCAGGTGCTATATTCTAACCATAAACATTAAGAAAATGTTATTCTTCCTTTGAGACTAAGAAAATTTGTGGAATTTTTAGGATGGGATAAGTCATCTACCAAAATTTTCATTTCTAAACAACATTCAGATAAGAGAATGGATCAGTATTATCTGCTAATAATTAAAGAAAGGGAATAAACTCTGAAAAACAGTTAACATATTTATACTCTCATTTTAGAAGTTATTTTTATTTCTAAACCTGAATTATCAATTAAACTTCATTTGTGAAAGAAAAATAATCTGTTTTTATTATCTCAAAGAATAACCAGTTTCTTTGGTTAACTGCAAACAAACTTCCTCACTTAAAATTTCCATCCTATTTAAAAACTTTTCTTTGAGTTACTATTTGCTTCTCTTAAAGAATTAGATACTAGTATTGTTGGGTCCACCACCCATCTGTCAGTTTGTTGTACTAAGGTGGCTGCATGTTGCTATGATGCTGTTAGCTATACCACCAGTATTACAAATACCAGCAGGATCACCCATGGTAGACAGGTTTCAGCAGGAAGAAAGGCCTAGTAATCTACTTCTGAAAATTAGCCAATGAAAATGCTATGAATCAATCACAACAGAACATTATTTGACTCACTTTGCTTTGACTATGACATTGGGAGGGGTTGATCATGAAAGGACATCATGTTTTGTGAAATAGAGGGCCAACAAGGGTAAGATGGGCACAATAGCCACAACGATGGACTCTAACATGCTGGAGATTGGGAGGATGGAACAGGACTGAGCAACAATTCATTCTGTTGTACGTAAGGTTGTCACAAGTCAGTCAGCTTGATAGCAGCAATCTGTCATTGTTGGACAGAGGGTGAATTGAGATGGATGGATTAAGGTTGACCTAATTAGAAGTGAGTGATAAATGAATTAAGAACCCAAGTGGATAAGGAAGGAATTTTCAACCAGGAGATTACTTCAGAATCTCCAGTAGATATTTTTTAAATGTGTCCATTTTAACTTGAGTTTCATGTTGCAAAAGTCTGGGTGAAGGCCTGAACATCCATATTATTTTTTAAATATCCATGGGGGATTCTAATAACCCCCAGTTGAGAACCACTGGGTTAGATGTAAAGGAAAGGGTCATTAGTAATAAAAAAGTATAAAATCTATTTGCTTCAGTAGAGGATTCCTTACAGGAAGATTAATAGTAGGACAATGTGAATGACCAAGCAGACTCCTGCACCATCTCGCTGGTAATACATAAATGGTGGCAAAAACTGAGATTTAGATAGGTACATTTGTCATGGTAGTCTTTCCTGGACACCTGATTCATGTGCATGTGTTTGTGCAATACAAACTCTACAGGGATCTCTTTACAGGGAACAAATCTAAATGATCCAAATACATAAAACATGTATTTTTTGGAGAAGTTGCTAGTTATTACAGAGTTGACCCTTGGTTTCTCTGCATATGACAGGAGGCACTGAGTGTGCCCAGCTGTATCCTTGAGATTTCTTGAATGGCTAGGAGACTATCCAGTAATTATACTGCCCTGTCTGAGGCAAGTCATATTTTGGATGGAATCAGGAAACAGATTTTTTTCTTTTTTAATAAATTCATTATTTAATAATTCAATCTTTAAACAGCTGACAAACCATCATTCTTTTTTAAGCTGGACACTGGGAGTGGTTGTGACTTGGCAATGAAAATCCTAAGCTGAGGATTCCCTATGGCCTTTAAGTCTTTCTAACTCTTTTTAGAAATTACCTGCACAGTAATTCAAACTTCCTCATTTACAAAATAGGATGGGCAGATGTAAAATGGCATGGCAGGGACAGCTGACCCCCTTTAACTTCTTGAGGAGGAGACTGAATCACCATCAGCATCAACAGCCCAAAGATAATTCCTATGAGGTGGAAGTCAGACATGCATGTCAAAAAGACATGCTTCTGCCTCTTGTTTCTTGGTGGTAGTGAGAACTCTCTTTACCCTGGAATTGGCTCTTTTTCAAGCCTAATGAGGTGGCAAAACTGACCAGTCTTCATCATTATGGTTCTATACACCTTTTTTGCATGGGCCCACCCCCACAAGGGTGCCATGCACTTTACTTGTATCATTAGCAAGCTGTATAAGTCAGACATGCCTCCATCCTCCAATCATCCAGTCAACCATCCCTCCCACTCTCTGTTCTGCTGGGTTGGATAATTTATTGCAATGGCCACATAGAACTCAGAGGCAATATTCAAGATTATGGGGTCTATTAGGGAAGTAACAGGCTACAATTCCGGATCAGAAGTGACTCAGGATTCAGTTCTTCAATCAGGGCAGCCTCTTTTCAGTTGTGCCTGCAGGCAGGCTTCTCCTCAGCCTCTTCCTTGCTCAGGCAAGTGTTACAAAGCTCTTAAGCTCTACTAGTAAGTGCCTGGGAGTACCCTACTCTGCTACTAAGCCTCCTGCTGAAAGGTGCTCAGCTCTCCTATTCTGTGAGTTGGTGAGCTTAGCTCCATCAAGTGCCCAGAGGCACCCATTATGCCAACAAGCCACCTACTGAAGACTCTGGTGTCTTGCTCTGTGGACTGGGAAGCTCACTACACCATCTCCTGCCGGTCTACTGGTGCTGTTGCTGCCAGTTCTCTGCCATGCTTGCTGCTACTTCTTGCTGTCGTATGTCATCTCCAGTGGTAACAGCTGCCTGTCTCCTAGGTCTAGGATGTTTTCAGTGCAGGGACCCTGGGTCAAAAAGACATGCTTCTGGCTCTTGTTTCTTGGTGGTAGTGAGAACCCCTCTACTCTGGAATTGGCTTTCTTTCAAGCCTAGTGGGGTGACAAAAGTGACCAGTCTTCATCATTATGGTTCTATATACCTTTTTTGCATGGGCCCACTCCCACAAGGGTGCCATGCACTTTATTTGTATTATAAGCAAGTTGTATAAACCCCTTGGTATACAACAAGCACTTTATTTGCATAGTCCCACCTAATCTTTTGGTGAGTTACAAGACTGTGGTTAGAAAGGTCTTGTAAAGGTGATCCATCAAACCACAACAGAAGAAAAGCACACATACAAATCCCTGTTGAATGCCTGTGAACCCCTGGGAAACTCCAGTGGCTGATATGCAGATACACAACCAAGTAGGATGGGTCTTTTCAAGACAAGCCACCAGAAATGGAAGAAAATTTAGCTCTGAATAGAAGTTGTAGAAGGATATAGTAGTTGTAGAGATCTTAATGAATACTCGGTTTGGAGAACACATATTAGTCCATGCACAATGAAATTCTATTATGAGCACCAATTATATAATTTCAAAATTAGCTGGGTCAAAACAAAATCTAATTGTGTCAAAATTAGATTAAAATAATTTCAGCTTCCTTCCCTTCTCATTTGGTTTAATTTCATCTACTCCAGGTCCCTCCCTGAGTGTATAAAGCCTTCATTAAAAGAAGAAAACAAAACAAACAGCTGCCATCAAGTTGACTCCAGCTCATGGTGACCCCAAGTGTGTGTCAGAATACAACCAAGCTTTTCTTCCTAATATGTTTTAGTCTAGAA